CAGTCGGTGCAGCGGAAGGGCCTCTCATCTGTGTGTATCCGCTCATGCAGGAGGAGATTCCCACTGGTACGAAACCTCTTCCCACATTGCAAGCACTTGTAGGGCCATTTCCCAGTGTGGATGAGTTGGTGGGTACGGAGGTAGGAGCTGTCCCTGAAGCTCTTCCCACATTCCCTACACGTGTAGGGCTGTTCCCCAGTGTGGATGTGCTGGTGGGTGAGGAGGTTCCAGCTCTGGCTGAAGCTCTTCCCCCACTCCCCACACTTGAAGGGTCTTTCCTCAGTGTGGGTACGCTTGTGTTGGATCAGGTGGGAGCTCTGCTTGAAGCTCTTCCCACATTCCCCACACGTGTAGGGCCTCTCCCCAGTGTGGATGTGCTGGTGTTGGATCACTGTGGAGCTGTCACTGAAGCTCTTCCCACATTCCTGACATGTGTAGGGCTGTTCCCCAGTGTGGATGCGCTGGTGTCGGATCAGGTTGGAGCTGTCATTGAAGCTCTTCCCACATTCCCTACACGTGTAGGGTCGTTCCCCAGTGTGGATGAGCTGGTGCCTGAGGAGCTTCGACCTCTCCCTGAAGCTCTTCCCACATTCCAAGCACCTGAAGGGCTTCTCCTTGATGGGAGGCTGCTCAGGGACCACCAGCTCGGAGCTCCGGCTCAAGCTCCAGCCGCCTTCCCGGCACAGGATGGCTCTTTCCTCCTCACAGCTCCCTGGGCTGGCTTTGCAGCCCCTCCTCCGGGGGCATCTCCGGGCCTTTTCCTCCCCGCTGCCTTCCTGCGCCGGGGAGCCCTTCAAAACGGCCTCTCCCACCAGGCTCTGCCGGAGGGATTTGTCCTCCGTGCTCTCCGTCCTCAGCTCGGGGCCTGGGGCAGGAAGGAAGAAGGACAGGCAGGGGATTTGCCTCCGGCCCAGAGGGAAGGCCAAGCACATCCCCCCCAAATCTGGCCCCCACATGCACCACAAGACAGGGCCAAAGGGGCACTGACTTCCTCCTCACCTGCCTGGGAGGCCCGTGGCCTTTTCGTCTTCTTCGCAGCCTCCTCCTCCATCTGCCCAAGCTTTGGGGAAGACAAATCCTGCTGGGAGGAAACAAGGGCTGAGTGCGTTGGCTTGGGGGTTCCTCCTGCCCAAGTCCATCTCTAGAACTCACTGGGCATCCTGGGACCATAAAAACCTCCAAAACATCACAATTCAGCCCAAAAAAATCCCAGTGAAGAGCTCCTCCTCCCTGGTCTCTCCACTTTGGGATTCTGGAGGTCCCCCCTGTCTGGGCTTCTGGGAGTCCCGTGTGTATTTGGGGTCTCCCCTCCATGGGGTCCCTGCCCTCTCCAGACTGCTGGGGGTCCCAGGAATCCAAGGCTCCCCCATCTCCCAACTTCAGGGTTCTTGGGGACCTCCAAAACATCAAGAATCAGCCCAGAAAAACCCAAACCACCAAGATTCAGGCAAAACCCCCTCAGAAACAGCAAGAAGACATGCGCCCCCCAAATTGTAAAAAGTTGAGATTCAGCTGAAATATAAATTATGAAGATGAGTCAAAAAAAATCTCTCCCAGGAGTTCCCTGTCTCCCCACTCGGGGTTCCAAGGGTCTCCCCTGTCTGGGATTTTGGGGGTCCCAAGGGTCCCTTCTCCTTTGACTCTCACCTTTGGGGTGCCACCTTCCCAGACATTCCCCCTTGAAATGAGAGCAAGGCCTAAAGAATTACCTGAAATATTTTGCTCAGCTGAGAGAAGCCCCCCCATACCTGCTCTGCCTAAAGTGATAAAGAAAAATTTGTTCTGTTCTGTTCCTTGGACCTGATCTAAAGAAGGCTGGAAACATTCTACAATGGGTCTGTAGGCCAGAAATTAAGGCCAAGTCAGCCAAGGTAGACATTTGAATAGGAGAAATAGGCCTAAAGCCAAGGCTCTCTCCAAGCTTCAGTGACTGCGGCAAAGACAATGGAAAGTTAGAGGGGTCACACTGAGGAAGACTGCAGAGACCCCAGCCCCGATGATGAAGAAAGGGGGATGAACCCCCAGAACTGAGGGCCAAGGAAAGCTCCACCCCAAGCTCTGCCTGAGCTCTGCCTCTACTCCAGCTATTATCAACATGAATGGTTAGCTGTTGCAATCAAATGAATATGGATGTAAGATGTTGCAATCATAGAAGTCAGACTGTATAAATTACCCTGTTTTGTACCAACACCTTCGAGCTTTGTGGTGCCAACCCCGCCTGCTCCCGACCTCGACAGAAAAAACACCTTTACTGCTCAAAAGACCAAAACCTTCTGGGCACTTTCGTTATTGGATTTCTCAGATTCATCTGAAGAGCAGATTGTGCCCCAGGGATGGGATTGCAGAGGGGCCTGCTCTCCAGGACAGCAACCTGCAGGGAGGGCAGATGATGTGCAAGCCCAGGGGTTCCTGCTTGCACTGGCCTGGGGGCTTCTTTCTCCTTCCACAACCACCCCACAACTTCTCCTGCTTTCCTAACCCCACATCTTTGCAGACTGCCC